CGATGATAGCTATTACTACTGCTACCTTCATTACGCAAATGCTCAACCGGTTCAATCTGAAAATTGCTATTACTACTGCTACCTTCATTCCTACAACTAGCATCTTCTCCAAGTTGATACCAAATATAATAATATGGCATGAAACCTCTATTTACTAAATGCTTCCAAACATTTTCACGAGGGCCTAATTTGGTATTGCAACATTTCCGACAAGGACATAACATCTTACGACTTTCCTGCATGTGTGGTGTAGAATCTGCTTGATGCATAAACGTCTCCAACCCTTCGGGAAATTCTTTCGTCACCCTCCCGTTATTATCTCTGTGTGAATACATCTACTTCCGCAGCTCGAAAATATTTCCCGGACTGGACATTTTTTTTTTGTTTGATCAAGCTTATAGCTGATTTTTTTTGGTGTGTTTCAAATGAATCACATATGGTGGTATTTATAGAAATTTTTCGAATCTGAGAATTTACTAAGAAATTGCTAGGAAAAGTAGGTACAAAACACGTTCTTGATTTAAATTCGATATTTTCTATCCATTTCCTCTTAATTTCGTAGTAACAAATCTTTTCCTCCTAATTTCGTAGTAAACAATTACTAGGACTTTACGAGGAAAAGCATTACTATGAGTTTACGAGGAAAATAACTTTTTCCTCGTAAGGGCCTCATAAATTTACTTCAAATTTACGAGGAAACTGTTTTCTCGTAAGTTTACGAGAACTTTACGAGGAAAAGCGGTTTCCTCGTAAACTCGAAGTAAACTCGTAGTATTTTTACGAGGAAATATATTCCTAGTAAAGTTTCCTAGTAAAGGCTTAGTTTTCTTGTAGTGAAATATCAACTTTTCAATATATGTTCAATGTAAATATCAAAAATATAAATATGTATTTTCATATGATGCATAGTTAATTTAAACGATATGAGATATGATATATATATATATATATATATATATTAACATAAACACATATTAAAATCAAATTATTTATTCATATGATTTTATAATCATTGTAACTTATTATAGAAAAAAATTTAGATCTTGCTCACAAAAGTTTATGTGAGATTTTTAACAGTTTTCTTAATTTATAATCATTTTGAAAATTTCAAAATACAACATATATAATAAATCTTAATTTTTATTATATGATTAGTGTAGTTGTGTAATTTATTTTAATAATAAATAATTAAACAAAAATGATATAAAGTATACATATTGTTAACAAATCTTTAGATTTATAAATCAATATTTGTCATATATATCTTAATCATACTAGGTAATTTCGTAGGTTTTATTTAAGGAAATAATGTATGAAGGATTTAGTTTGATATGTTATTTAGTTTGTTATGTCATATATGAGACCAATATACCTCGTTTAAAAACTATACTTTATGTTAGATGCTTTAGATTCATTATAAATTGAATTAGAATGCATATAAAACTGCCAAGCTGAAGTTATTTTTTAATTAATACAAACTTAAGGTTATATCTTTTCAAATGTTTTTCAATTAATATATAGGAGATATTAATCACAACTTTATGATATCATACAAATCTTTTAAAACATGATAAATAGTTGTCACACTTGTAAATGTGGAAGCACTTGTTTTGTAACTCTTGACTTTGCCCACTCCAAATTTCTTTATAAAAAACCCCAATTCTTTTTTATTCACTCATATCATAATAATTTGATCCAAATGCCAAATATGACTTCTCTCTCTACTACCACTTTCTTCATTCTTTTCTCTTCTTTGTCTCTCTTGTCTTTCTCTCGCCTCTCACTGTGGCCGACGCAGACGAAGACAAAGCTAAGAAAATCAAGGAATTGGTGACGAGGTTCAAGGCATTAACAGCAAAAAAAGAAAGACTAGAATGTGAGATCAATTGGTTGGGCTTCTTCTCATGGAGTCATGTGTGTTACCATTCCACTTTCTATAATCAATTTAAACGATGTATGTGTCATTTCTGTTGTTTGTTTTATGTTTTATGTTTGTCCGCAATTTTGCAAATATTTATATTATATGAAAAATATATATTATGTTTACAATATTATAATTTTACAATATTATAATATTTGAATAATAATTAAAATATTAAGATTTTGATTTTAAGTTTATGTAGGTGGATAATCAACAATTTCAATATATAATTTTAGAAGATCGGTGAGATTTAAGATATTTCAATAACATAAATATTAGTCATTAAAAAATTTCTTACAAAAAATAATTATAATTAATTCGGATAATTGGTTCTAGAATTATTTTATATTTTATTTTTATCACGTGAACAATAGAAATACTCTAGGTTTCTCAAAAGATTTTTTTTTATGTAGTTTCAATAAGACCAATACAATGATCAGAGGTTTTTTATAGTGAAGATATCTTGTAAACATTTTTGGTGTGTACTTTAAAAACATAGAAAATCTCTAATAATTCTTTACCTACAAATATAATGTTTTATAAAAGAAAATAAAACCATTCAAACGTTTCTATAAAATGTTAACGTATTTTATTTAAGTATATAAATAATTGAAAAAATAAAAAAAATTGATAAAATGTTACATATTCTTTCTATATTTCTGAAATTAGCTACCATAAATAATTATTTGTAATATTACTTATGTTATTTTGTATTTGTATTAATTAGTCTAGAGTTACTTTTTAGATTTTATGAAAAGAAATATCTAATAAAAGTCATCAACCAAGCATATTATAACAATTTTTAAAACGATACAAAAGTAAAAACCACTTAATAATTGAGTGTATATTCACATAGACTAATCTATTTCTCTAAGAATTCTAAAAATTATTTTGTTATTGACACGTGGTTATCTCAAATTTTGTAATATTTTTCAAATAATATATAAGAGATTAAATTATATATATACATACTTGTATATCTTTTTCCATACATGTGGCATCTTTTCATTTTCTTATTTAATGATGTGTCAATATTACATGAGGGAAAACCTTCTTTATATAGATAGATAGATTGATAGATAAATGTAATTCTTGTAAACATTAAATAGTTCGATTAATTGTTAAATTTTTATTAGTTAAAAGTATTATTAACAATTATTAACTAAACAAAAAAAATCATTTGGGAATATCTATTTTTGGAGTAAAATTGGAGTAATACATTAGAATAAAAATATAGACACATTCAAGTCGCTCTAATCGTTTCTGGTCCTCCCTCTGTCATGTATTCTCTGATTTTCCAGGGAAGGTCTCTCGAGGTACAGAAATGGCTTCCTTTGAGATCTGCGCTAAATCTTTTTCAAAATGCATCTCTTTTTTCCTCTGCAACGGCTGCTGATGTGGAAGATGGTCGAAAAGGAAATAACTTTACAGTCTCACACCTCCTTACTTCACTTGGTTTATCCACAAAACTCGCAGAATCCATCATCTCCGGCAACAAGGGTAATCCAGACTCTGTTCTTAATCTGTTGAGATCTCATGGGTTCACAGATCCTCAGATCTCCACCATCATTACGGATTACCCACGACTGCTTCTACTAGACGCTGAGAAGTCCCTTGCTCCAAAGCTTCAGTTTTTAAAGCTAAAAGGAGCTTCAACCTCTGAGCTCACTGAGATTCTCTCAAAGGTTCCTAAAATCTTGGGGGAGAAAGGGGAAAACACTATTAGCAGATACTATGGTTTCGTGAAAGACATCATAGAAGCTGACAAAAACTTAAACTCTTGTCAGTCTTTGCCACATGATAAACTGAGAAACATTATGGTTTTGAGAGGATTAGGTGTGCCTCAGAAGCTGTTATTCTCACGGCTTATCTCCGAAGGCCAACCTGTCTGTGGGAAAGAAAACTTTGATATAGCACTCAACAAGGTCCTTGAGATGGGTTTTGATCCAACCACATTGAAGTTTCTCCGAGCACTGCAGATCTTCTACGACTTGAGAGACCACAAACAATAGAAGACAAAATCAATATCTACAAAAGGTTAGGCTTCACTGTGGAAGATGTATGGGGGATGTTCAAGAGGTGTCCTCTCTTTTTTAACATCTCAGAGAAGAAGATATTGAACTCCATTGAAACATTTGTCGGCCTAGGATTCAGTAGAGATGAGTTTGCTATGATGGTTAAGAACTTTCCTGCGTGTCTTAACTATTCTGCAGAGTCGGTGAAGCAGAAGACTGAGTTTGTGGTGAAGGAGATGAAGTGGCCAATAAAGGCTGTGGCTTTGTTCCCTCAGGTACTTGGATACAGCCTTGAGAAGAGAACTGTGCCTAGGTGTAACGTTATCAAAGCTCTCATGTCTAGAGGGTTGCTAGGAAGAAGTGAACTCCCTCCCATTGCGTCTGTGTTGTCTTTGAGCAATCAAGCCTTCTTAAACAAGTATGTGAATAAACATGATGACAAGGAGTTGGTGGCTGAGCTTATGGCTATCTTCACTGGAGGCCATGTTTCATAAATAAGAAGGCTTTATGAATGTGTTAACAACCTCAGTTTTAGACTTTTGTAGTTTTAGTTTGATCCCGTGACCTGTTTCTTTCTGTTTGCTGCAGTCCGAATTTGAAAAAATTACCAAAGTGGAACTTTGAATCTCTTCTAACAGTCATTGCAGTAGACATTCTCTGTCTCTATCTTCACTTGGTATATATATATAAACTTCAAGGACAACCTCTCTTCTCTCACTTGCAGATACAGAGACCAGTTTCTCAATACTTTCGTTTCATATATAATAAGTGATTTGGAGGCTACATAATTATCTTACTACAGTTTGCAATATGTATCAGATCTTTTAAAAGTGCTTGGTTATAATCAAATTTTGTTAGCTGATTTTCAAATTCGTAAACATTGCTGTCTTAGTTCATACTGACATGTAAAAGGTTTGTAGAATATGGTAGGAGTCAGAATGTGAATTAACTTGTCTTTCGCCTGTGAATCTATGCAGGCTGCTGCTGCTATAGTCTCTAGTTTGAGAAGCAAATAGGGGTGTCCGTTTATGATTTATATGGGAATGAGTATGTTTCCTTTCTTGCGTTATCAACTTATCATTGATTTGCATACTTGCAGTGATAGTGAAGGCACTTATCCATGAAGCTTGTCAGTTAGTTTCAACAGGTATGGAGTCATTAAGACAAGAACAACTAGAATTTGAGTTACAATTACTTTTTTTAACACAACACATAAGCATTCATCAACAATATTCCGCAATCATAAGTATGTTTGTTTAATAGGAAAAAGAACCACACATTATGAAAGACAATATTCATAGACCTTTGGTTTTTAAGTGGGCTGCAAAAGTTGTAGCCAAAACCATATACACTTCAGCGTCTAGCTGGCCTTCTGGATTTAAAGAACCTCTCTTTGATTGTGATCAACTCCTTGACCACTTCACTAGTTGCCAACCGTTTTGTAGGAGATTCTTCACAGCACCTATGGCCCAGGTCAAAAACCAATGTCAAGCACTCAGCAATAGGGAAACCCACTCTAAGACCACTGTTAAGAATTGATTTATCTGCAATGTCCAAAACTCTCTCTGGCAACGCTGACTTGGTGTAGCTGTGTAGAGTAAAGTTTCCCTCAAATAATTCATTGGTTGGTCTTTTTCCACTGAACATTTCCAAAAGAAGAACCCCAAAGCTATACACGTCACCATGTATGGATGGCTGCCCTCCCGTTCCATATTCTACAACATAATTGACAAACACAACAACAAAAAAATTGTAATGATAAAATATATATACTTCATTTGTTTCATTTTAATTGTCATTTTAAATTTGTGCACACAAATTAACAAAATATTTAATTTTGTATATTCTCTAAATAAAACATCATTACTTATATTTAACCACAATCCAACCAATAGAAAAATATACTACAAAATATAAATAAATCATATAGCATAAAACTTAATAAATTTAGCAATTAACATTGAAATTCTAAAATAAAATTTTTTTGAACGGAAAATTAACAATTAAAATGAAAGGGGGAAGTACTAATTTTCTTCATATAATATTGCAGATGTGTGACAATTTTACCTGGGGCAGCGTAGCCGATGGTTCCTCTGACACCGCCTGAGCTTAGTTGGTTGAGGAATGATTCCCTGTCAAATTTGAGGAGCAGTCGAGCTAGACCAAAATCACTAACATGGGCTGTTAGATCATCGTCTAGAAGCACGTTGCTTGGCTTAAGATCACAATGAGCTATAGGTTCATGACAATGAACATGAAGATAGTCCAAAACAGATGCCACGTCTATCCCTATGCTAAGCCTTTCAAGAAGAGTCAAGGCTCTTGAGGGTCTACGAATCTCTTCAACTTCCTCTGGATGCAGCCACATATCAAGGCTTCCATTAGGCATGAACTCATAGATCAAAGCTCTGAATTCATTTCCTTGGAAATCGATACTCGAACAAGCTGTCAATAGTTTCACAAGATTACGATGCCTTATGTCCTTCAAGGACTCACATTCCGCCATAAAGCTCTTCATTGCTCCACGTCTCTGCAGGTTTAGAACTTTCACTGCAACAACCTTGTTCTCTGCAGGGAGCAAGGCTTTAAACACAGTACCAAAACTTCCTGACCCAATCATATTGCTTGAAGAGAAGCCGTCGGTTGCATTTCGGATCTCTCCATAACTCATCTTCTCATGGAAGACCTCCAATGTGGAAGGAGTTGGATTATTAATATTCAGATTCCTCTTTCTTTTTTTGAACCAACATAGAGATACTAAAGCTACGAACATTAGCAAAAGCAAAGCTATGCCCATGCTAACCCCGATTGCAACTTTCTTCAGATGAGAGGTGTGTTTTGCCTTCAATGGTGATGCTTGTGCAGAGCATGGCTTCAGTTTCAGTTTCTTGATACCTCCACAGAGATTTTTGTTTCCAAACACCAAAACTATGGTAGAATTTTTGAATTTTCCATCCGTTGGCACCTTTCCTTCCAAATTGTTGATGGATAGATTGAGATACTCCAATGAAGAAAAGTTTGCAAGATATTCAGGTATACTTCCGGAGATATAATTATTTGATAAATCAACTCTTTTAAGACCCACCAACGCTGGTATATTTGGAATATCTCCTTCAATAGAATTTCCTTGCAGATAAAGTTCTTGCATCGCCAGACATTTACCCAAGGTTTGAGGGAGCTGCCCTGATAAGTTATTATTCCCAAGTGATAGTACAAGAAGAGTTTGTAGTCCTCCCACATCGTTTGGTAGAGAGCCGGTCAAAGAATTACCTTCAATGTTTAGGCGAACAAGGTTAGAGATTTGCATAATCTCCTGAGGTATAGTCCCTTTCAACTTATTACTCCCAATCTCTAACTCTAGTAAGTGACTACAGCTACCGAGACTTGGAGGAACAAATCCTTCAAAGTTATTGTTGGACAACTTGAGTTTTACTAATTGACTGAGGTTGCCTATAGAAGAAGGTATCTCTCCCGACATTATATTTGAATTTAGAAGAATGTACCCCAATCCTAAAATCTCCCCAATAGAGTTTGGAAGTGGTCCCGTCAGTAAATTTTCTGACAGCCAAATTACTTGTAGGTTTTTGAGATTCCCAATGTCATGAGGGATGCTTCCTACAATGAGATTGTCTTGAAGGCTTAAATAGTTGAGGCTCAATGAAAGATTGGCAATAGAATTAGGCAAGTCACCTCCAAGCAGATTTGCACCTAAGTCTAGCAGCTGTAGCTGGGTGCAATTAGTCAAAGCATCAAGAAAGTCAAGATCTCCAAAAGAACGACTTCCCAAATAGTTATTAAGAAAAGATAAACCTTGCAAATCTCTTAATTTTCCAAAGCTTATAGGAATACTTCCTCTTAGATGGCTATCCTCTATTCTAAACTGCTGAAGATTAGAGATATTGGGAAGAGTTTCTGGAATGGCTCCATTGAAAGAATTATATCCCATGTATATCTCTTCAAGGTTTGGTAGTAAAGTACCAAAATCAGACCTCAAGCCACCCGAGAAATGATTTCCAAAAATGTTTATGTATTTTAGTGAAGACATGTTGTAGAAAGCTGGAGGAAAAACATCTGAGAAATTGTTTACTGACAATTCAAGAAAAACCAGATGAGTCAAGCTAGCTAGATCATTTGGAATTCTTCCTTCTATATTGTTAGTCACCAAGCTAAGGTTTCTGAGAGATGTCAAGTTTCCTAGAGATGCAGGGAGTGTTCCTTTAAGGTGGTTTTCACCAAGATATAAACTAACCAGCTTTGTTAATGATCCTAGTTCTGAAGGAACAATTCCTCCAAGATTATTTAAGTATAAATAAACGTGCAATAATCTGGAGCAGTTAGATAAACTTGTTGGAATCCCTCCTCTCAGAAAATTAACGGACATATCCAAGTGATGAAGTCTAAACAAGTTTCCCACACCGCGTGGGATGACTCCACCAAAAGAGTTGTCAGAGAGATTGAGTGAAATGAGAAACGAAAGGTTACCAACTGATGGTGATATGGCTCCTCCCAGTTTCAAGCCTCCAAGATCCAAACCAGTAATTCTCTTGTGTTTGTGCCCACATGTAACTCCATACCAGTTGCAGAGAGGGAAGGAGTGATTCCAAGAGGACAAGGCAACTCTTTTTTTTTCGGAAACTTGAGACTTGAACTCCAACAAAGCTTGCTTATCAGTTTCATCACTAAAACGATATGCTTCAAGTAACAAGAAAGAACTCAAAGCAAGTAATAGAAACAATTTCATGCTTCTCAAAGTTTTTTTTTTCTTTTTTATATATGTTTTTGGTTAAAAGCTGTTGGTGCTTATTAAATTTTGCAGGAAACTGAATATAAAGGGACAAAGCGTTTGCATTTTTCATTACGATATTATTAAGTTTGCTCTCACAACCACATAGAATGCGAGACTTTTCCACATAAGCCAAGTAGTCAACTCTGTTTAACAACAAAACATGTCACTAGTTACTTCTTTTTTTCTTTGGTAAAGTTCTGCAGGAAACTGAATATAATAAAGGGACGAAGAATTTTTCAAATTTACATTATGTGTTAATTAAATAGTCTCTCTCAACCATATATAATGAGAAACTTTTTCAAAATGACATTGATGATTGCCGTCTAGACTCATGCCAGTTAAGTCAAGTAGTCAACTCTGTTTAACAACAAAACATGTCATTAGTCTTTACGACTTTTTTTTTGCTTAGACAAATCCTTTTCGGTGGGTTTTAAAAAGAGAAACTAGACGAGATATACATTACATACAAAAAAAAGTTTATAATCATTACACATTTTAGGCTATGATATTTGTAAAATAATTGCTATTTTACTCTTGACATGCACACATTTGATTTTTGTTTTCTTTTTTTTCTTTTCTTGTAAATATGTTTTTCCCTTCTACTTTTAATTTTTTTTTTTAATTTATGTTAAGATAATTATTGAGCTTTATAGTTTACATAATAAAAACATAGATTTTTTTCTACACATAATATGTTTTGAATCTTTGAAAACAAACATGTGTTTTATAAATTTTATATTACATTTCATAATAGTGATTTTAAATATATCCTATTTTACACATATATATAGTATAGTTAGATTTTATGTGCAAAATTAGACACAATATTAATATTAAATATATACTGTTTTACACATATATTTCGAAATATAGAATAGACATAATATTGGTAGTCATGTGTTATCACTATATTGATTTTTAGAATCCTTAGAAAAATAAGTTGGTCCATCTTAATATATAGTACTCCCTCCGTTTCATTTTAATTGTCATTCTACGTTTTTGCACACAGATTAAGAAAACATTTAATTTTACATATTTTCAAGATAAAACACAATTACCTATAAAACTAACCACTTTTCAACCAATAGAAAAATAGAATATCATATAAAACCAATAAATTTTGCCTCGAAACTCTAAAACGACACTTATTTTGAAACGATTTTTTTTCTCTAGAATGACAATTAATTCGAAACGGAGGGAGTATACTCTTTATTAAACTAACTATGCAATTAATTGGTATTGTATAAAAGTATATTCTCATTATTTACTTAAATAAAAATTACGGAATTGACTAATATAGTTAACAAATATATGACAATTAATGATTGTGTATAATAAAGATTTGATAAGAATTTTCTATCTTCCATCATTTTTTAATTTTATATTCTTAAAATAAATTAAACAATCATATTAATAATATAATAAAATTTTTATATTTTTTCTTATATGCTATATTTTGAATTTTTTTAAAGATTATAAATTACTAAAATTGATAAAAATCAGCATTGAAATTTTTGTGATCAATGATATAACTTTTTGTTATAACAAAATACAAATGATCATAAAATCATATAAATATGAAATCTATTTAATATATATATATTCAGAGTAAATATATATATTATACATAAACATTCATATAAACAAAAATGATCAAAACTTTCTTTGAAAAGGAAGCATCGGTTAATAAATATTCATATAAACAAAAATAATATTTGTTACAGTAAATATAATGTTAGTTAAATCATATGAGTACGAACTCCAATTAATAAATTCTCATATTAAAATATATTATATAGTATTGTTAATATCATCTAAATTTAATTATATACCATACTTCCTTCGTTTCTGAATAAGTATCACTTTGACATTTTTCACACAAATTAAAAAAGTAGTGGAACTATATGTAAGATGTTATTAATTATACATCTCTGACCAATAGTATTTGATATAAATAAAACTATTTATAAAATCAATGCAGTTTTCAATTAATTTTCAGCTGAAAGTAAGTATAATTTACATTAAAATTGTAAAGTGACATTTTTTGGCAAAAAGAAAAAAAATGACACTTATTATGCAACAGAAGGAATATAAAACAAAATGATTAATTATTTTGCTTTTTACCAACAAAAAAATATTGTAAATACAAAGAGGGATGATTTTTATTTATATGTTTACTCCAGTTTAACTAAATACGTAATAGTTACTTGCTTCTCAATTTTTCAATATACTTTTACTGCATAGTACGTAAATGAACATAAAATAAATAATATGTATAAATGATTTGTATACACAATTAATGTTCATTCCGCGCAAACACGACTCTCAAAAATTATTTATTATTTCATAAATATAATTTTTCATATCAAAGTGAGATGGTGAATTTTAACATCCGGATAATATTATTGAAGTTCAATGTAAATAGACTTAAAAGAATAAAAAATATCAACAAATATTACTCTACTCATTAACTTTTATTGATAGTCAAAATTATGATGTGATGGTTAAATGATCAAAATTAATATTTACTAATTATTAATATAAAATTTTTATCCTGCATATGTGCGCTGGATATCACCTAGTTCTTAATAAATGGTGCTCCTATGAATATTAAGCAAAATGACCCTTTTAAAAATTCCACCAATTTGTCGACAGTTCCGTGTGTTATCATCATTGCCAGACGAAAGAAAAAGTAATCAATATTTCTTTGGGAATTATGCTAATTTAGAACCAAAAAATAGGTCTCATGTCCCTTTAGTATATCATATTTTTTGACCATTTTTTCTCCCTTTTACCCTTTCCATTTATAAAAATTAATAAAATAAATAGTTCTATTACTCGAAAAAATATTTAAAAATACACAGAAGTGATTAAATTTCTATATACATAAACGGATATTTTTTTTAATTTCAAAATTTTGGTAAATTAAAAATTTTAATTACGTTCTACGGAGAGTAGAATTCACATTCTACGAAAAATCGCATAGTAGAAGGCATATTCCACGTAAAGCAATTATCTCTACAATTTGTAGAACGCATATTCCACGTAAACCAATTATCTCTACAGTTTGTAGAACGCATATTCTACGTTTTTAAAGACTTCTACAGAAAATCTGAATGTAGGTTCTACGTTTATATCCACTTCTACGAATGTCAGAATACGATTTCTACTTAAAACGCAGATGTCTACATATAGTAGAATGTGCATCTCGAAACATGTTTGTGTGTCTACGCTGTGTAGAAGGTACCTTCTACGGATAAAACTAAACAAAATTCCGAAAATTTGGGAAAAAATCTAGGAAAATATTCAAAAAGATTTGTCCATAACTCCACCTTCCTTATGTGTGTTGAACGAATTTTGACGCCAAAAAAACCATAGCTTCTTCAACCCTCTTAACCTAGCTTCCCTCCATTGTGTTTCTTTTGATTTTCACAAATTTTCTTGTACCATGCACATCTATACTACTTGCGGTGTATGGGAAGTAGGTGCTACGGGGTGGGTGTTTTCGGCTGATGACAGAGGGGGAAGGTTACAATTATTGGAAGCAAATTCTACCTTAGAGGATTTAAAGAGAATGGTGTTGGAGGATTATGATATGGAAGAAGATATGTTAGCCGATATGGAACTGAGTTATTTACCTGCTGGGTTGATCAATACATCAACATCTCCACCAGTGTTCATTGCAAATGATCGTCAGCTTAAGAATTTTGTTGGTTTTGTTGAAAAGA